TATGGGACTTCTTTTTGGGGTGATGAAAATATTCTGGAGTTAGAAAGTGGTCATGATTGAATAACCTTGTGAGTATACTAAAATTCACTGAACTTCCCACATAACCCCAGAACCTAAAATAATTCTCAAAACCTATCAGGTATCCACTAAATAACTGTGAAGAAAAAGCTAGTATTCAAAAGGAAAAAACAATTGGCACCTAACAAATTATAGATAGCTTATTATGAATACCCACCTTATCTAAACCTATAAAGGTTGCAACTCCAATATTTTGTCTTTTAAGGAAGTTTACACATTCTTGGGCTGTATCAATAGAATCAACAACAATGTAGTCTAACGCATGACAACAAGATGAAACAGCAACATCATATTTTTCATCAATGGCTCCTAAATCCCCCTAACAATCAAGAGGGGGGAAAAAATCAACATATAACTAGCCAGAAACGAGGTAAATAGCACAGGATCATTTCATTACTATTCACACAGATTTTTAAAATTACTTTTAATTGAAAAACTATATACATGGTTTTAAAAAGCAAAAAGAATATCATGAAAAATTTAAATGTCCTTGTCACCCCAACTCCCCCTTCTGCAAAGGCCATCACTACAAGTTGTTTTTATCTACATTTTTAAAAAGTTTATAAATACTGATTGAATTTTTAATGAGCACAAAATGAAGAAAATTTTATTTCATAAAAACATAAGATATGAAACCTAAATAGACTATACGCAAAACAACTTAAAAAAAATCTGAATTACTGAAAGCCATCTAAGATTATGTACAGTCTTGATAAAACACATTTGTCTGTTTATCAATTAATTAGCTATCTAGCAGCACTCACTGACTGACTTGAGTTTTCCTTGAGAGTAGATGAACAGAATCAAATCGTGTATCTTCAAAAGAATAAGGAACAAGTCACTTGATATGAGACATAGAAGCATCTATGCTGGGTAATTTTCTTTTTTTTTTTTTCCTTTTTGTCTTTTTTTACTGACCGGTAACGGGATCGCAACCCTCGGTGTTGCGCCCGCACCACGCTCAGCCAGTGAGCGGGAACCGGTCTCCACATGGGATCCGAACCCTCGGCGGGAGCGCTGCCACACTCCCAAGCGGGGCACTCTCCAGTGTGCCACTGGGCTGCCCCTATGCTGGGTAATTTTCACTTGCCCTTCTGGATCACTCTCTGTTCCTTTCTTTGGAAAGCTAACTTAGGGACTGCATTAACTGGCTCCTTTGGCTCTCTAGCTATAGCCGATGTGACGTATCAGCTGGAAAACAGAGGGAGGAAGATAAATGAGGATAAAATATTTATTTTCTCTGTTTCTTCCTGATCATAGCTTCTTTCCCTCATGAGGCCCAGGACTGGTCATGGTGCCCATTATTGCAAGTTTATGTTTCTGGATTATCCCGTTGATTTCCCTAAACCCTAGCCAAAACCTTAAGTATAATGATATAAAACCCAGAATGTATCAAATTCTTATTTTCTAAAAAAAGAAGTACTTTTGTTAAGTTTACTTATCACAACTAAAATTAGTTTTTTTCTTGGTATATACAAGGCATCTCAAAAAATTCATGGAAGACTTGTATTACATTTTAATTCTATTTTTCTGTGAACTTTTTGAAGTACCCTTGTATAAAATGTTCATAATTATCCAAAACTAGACAATAAAAAACTATTTATAAGAGCAAAATGTTAAATAATTTGTCTTTCTGGAGAAAAATGTAAAGTCATTCACAAATAAATCTACTTTACCAATCGTCCATATATTCCTGGAATCCTGCCAGATTTTTTTTCTTGAATTATTGCATCAAGGACTTTCCCCCTACTTCGGTTCACTGCTAAGGAACTCTTTGCTTCTTCAACTTTTTGGAAAAGATCACGCACCAAACTTTTGAAGTTTATTTCTTCTTGTGTAAGTTTTTGAAGTTCTTTTTCTTTCTAAAAGTGAAAAGAAAATGAAACCCTGAGCATTATATCCTAAATATGCTGAATCATAGCATAGAATTACTTATAATGGTTCGATAATAGTAAAGAAGGAAAAGGCCAACGATATACTCTTGAACTAGTACTGAGCTGCCAAATGGTAACTGCTGGAAGAACATGGATGGATCTCCTGTTTTAAAGGGGCATAAATTATTTGGGTCAATAAATGGGAACATAAGTGCAATATGGCTCTAGGAGCAGTCCCTCCTGATAGAAAAAGTAAAGTTAGGGCTGTGAAAATCCCTGTTTGATACTACATAGTTAAGCATAAATGTGTTCTAATTCTTAAGTTCTGCCCTAATCAAAAGCAGACCTAGGAATAGGGCACTAGATATGAGTAACTAGGCAGGACTATGTCTATGCTGTGCTTTGCTTTCTAATTAAACAAAAAACAAAACAAAAAGGCACAGATCTGAAATGAAGAGGAGAAAGATGATTGGACAGTCCTATTGACATTCAAAAACATCAGTAACCATACAGAGGAAACACACGCACACACTCTCTCTCTCTCTGTTTCTCAATCTCTAACTTAGCTGCAGCCATCTTTCCTAACGTATTCTTCCCCATCTCCAGGTTTTAAATTATCTCTATTACCCATCATACTGGCATTAAGTAAAAGCTCAAGATATATAACTTATTCAAAAATAAACTGAATCACCAGGAAGATGGAAGTTGTCATTGGATGTAATTTATAAATTCTACATGGTTATGAAATTTCCTGATGATCAAATAGTGTGCATTTGCTAAAATGAAAAAGACTCACATTTCTTTTCAGCATAATATCTCTTCAAGCAGCATTTTCTATTGCCATCTTGCCTAATGAAGCAAGTTTATAAAATTTATAAAATTTAAAATTCCTTGGACATCTAATTCATTCTAGGATTGGGGGGAGGGCACCAACGAGCTACGTGAGATATCTTGATTAGTTTCTAACATTTCGAAGTCCCAACAGAAGAAATAACATCCAAAAATCCAAAAACGAAAAAAAAGTTAAGATAGTTGTTTGTATATTCATTATACATATGTCTGTCTTTCATTTATCCTTACATAAGCTGTCTATACTTAGATTTAGAGAAACAAAAACTTTCTTTTGTTTAAATTACTTCCATGGGATGGGGGTGGTGGTGATTTGCTGTTTGATGCTCTGGGGAGAATACAGTTAAGTTTCTTGATTGTCTCAGTCATATATAATACTGAAATGCTGACCACATTCTTTTGGGAATTACACTAAATGAAAAAAATATATAATTTATATACCCATCACTTTAGATGTTGAGATTAAAAACAAAAAATATATAACACTAGCATTGACGAACAATGTTCAGATAACATATAGAAGCAAAGACTTACCTCCTTTAATTCTTGTTCAGTTTGAGGGAGTTTTGTCTCTATATCTCCAATTGCAGCTTTTCTTTCTTTGAGAGTCTCAGAAGCTGCAATTAGAGCTTCCTTGGCCTTACTTAATTGAGATACTGCAGTATTATGACGACTGAGATAGATATCAAGTTCTGACTGGGCTACATCCATCTTTGAACGTGCTTCATTTACTGATTTGCTGAAACCCATAAGTTCTTTCTCTCGACTCTGTTAAAATATGGGAGTCCATTACATCTGAAATATATCTATTTTCAAACTTAAACTGAAATGGAAACCATACATTTTGAATTAATTCAAGAAAGGAGATTCTATAAGCATAGTACATAGAAATAAGTAATTCTCAGAAGTAGAATAAACAGTTTTTGCCTAATTGTCAATATTCACTGTACATAAAGTCTTTTCCCAATTGATTTCACAAGAGCTTTATGAAGTAGATCTTACTACGTTCATTTTAAAGATTAAATCAAAAAAGAGAATTATTGAAAGAGAAAACAAACCTGGGTCTAAAGTCTAGATTCCATGCTCTTTCCACATTACCAGGTATAAGAACTATTCAGCAGAAAGTATCCTAAAGTATATTGATGCTGAAAATCTTTACATTATGCTAAGGAACGAACACATTTAAATTTGAGTTTTGGCTTTGTCATAGTGCAAGGTCCACAGGAATACTCAATATACATTAAATGAACAAATGTTAAAATCCACTATCCATAAAGTATTCTATTACAAAGGCTACTGTATTATCCCATAGGTATCTTATAAAGTTTTGTAGTGTGACATCAGAACATGTCCATATTCTAAAGCAGAATCTATGATGTCTGTTACCTTTCAATCCAATTACCATCATCTATTAAAATATGTATTTAACATGGTCAATGTTGTCAAAAAAGGCTGTGTTGAATATAAACAAAGATAGCTGACTTCATGCTTATACTCTTGTTGGGTAGATAATACATATATCAATGTGACAAACTTCACACGCTGTTTTACTAAATAATGTAATAGCTAACATTTATTAATTTTTTACTTTCTAAGCACTTTATATATATAAATACATTTATTTTTTATTTTCACAAAGTAGATAATATTTTCTTCCTCATTTTGAGAAAGATGTCTTGAGAGTCATAACAACCCGCATAAGAGCAGAGAATGATTGATCTAGGATTTGGACCAAGAACTGACACAAGAGCCACAGATTTTAACTATTACAGAAGAGCTATAGAAGCAAAAAGAAGGTAGACGTCAACCTATGCTTAATGTGGCCCCAGGTTTTACAGGTGGCAACACATTAGTTACCAAGGAAATAATTTAGAAGCTGAAAAAGACTCAACAGGCTTAAGAGTGGCATATATAACAATCAAAGTATTCACATCACATTTTCTGCTATCACTACAAATTTTTATTCAGATTTTTTTTTTTTAAATGGGAAAGAAGAAAACAAAAGGGAAAAGAGTCTAGGCTGATTAGTCTTATGACTTAAATATTAGAAGGCCAAACTGTTTCTTTCAATGGTTCACTTTTTAGTATTACTGCAGTAACAATCTTCAAGCTACAAAAAAATAAAGGCCACCAAAATAAACACTGAAAAAGAACCTCACTTCTTTTTCTTTCTGAAGTCCTTGGGTTTCCTGTTTAAGGCTATCCATAACTTCCTTTAATTTTTCTTCCTCTTTCTCTTTTTCCTTTTCAAGGGCATTATTTCTAGTTGTTGTTTCAGTTATGATATTTTTACTCTTGGCAGGTATACTCTTAAATTCCTCAACCTGAGATTATAAAACAAAATAAAGTTATAAAAGCATATACCTTTAGGCTACCCATACTATGAATATTTGACTTACTTAAAAGGACTTCTCAGAGTCTTCTAGGTCTTTGCTGTTTTCTTTGAATGAGATTTGAACTAGCTGCCTTTAACAAGTATTTTCTTAATCATTCTATGTAATTTCTATTTTCTGTCAGTCTAACCGTAAAACTAATTCGATAAACTCCTGGTTCCTTATGAAAAAAAATTCTCCCTGGCAGAGTTTTCAGGTTCTCCTTCCTTCTTTCCTAAGTTCAGGCTGTAATTATCCTTCTTTAGCTATAAATATGCTCTGACCACATGGAATTTCCTAAACTACCCCTTCATTGTATATCATAATTTGCCACAAGTTATCTTTATCACCCCACCTGCAAATCTTAAGATCTTTCACAATTTTACCCTTCCAGAGTCACCATGTAGAACTAATATCTCATTTCATTAGTATTTTCTGGTAATAATCACATATCCATGTTTTATGTCTAAAAGCTATGCCTCTATAATAGTTAAATTATAACTATTAGTCTGTCCAATTGGGGGTTACTCCCAAATCCATGTTATTTCGTTTACCCTGGTCATCTAGTCCCAGAGAAGTTCAACATTTCTAAAATGGGTGTTGCTCACTGATTCACATATTTGTTAGTTGTACTGAGCAGAAAGTATTTGTGAACAAATACATTTGGAAAATGCTTATAGGGTAATGTATATGGAACAAAGGTATTTTGGGGTGATACGGTTTAGGTGTCCTATCTATTAATATCTGATGGAGCTATCAACATAGCTTGAGGGACCCCAACCCCAAGTTAATTGATCATAATTCTGGCTCCTAGCAAGTTAGGCTTTTCCATATTCTGGTCCAAACCTTTTTTTTTCTTTTTAACTTATGAATACCTAATCAATCCCTTGTAAATTATGAGCTTTCCTATTGATCATAATTCTGGCTCCTAGCAAGTTAGGCTTTTCCATATTCTGGTCCAAACCTTTTTTTTTCTTTTTAACTTATGAATACCTAATCAATCCCTTGTAAATTATGAGCTTTCCTATCCCTCTTTTTTAAGGGGAAACTCTTACTCTAATCCTGATAGCTTGATTTATGCAGGAGACAGTTAATATTTTTAAAAATAATGTCTAATCAAGAATATCTTTCAAAATCACTACTCTAGGAAAAAGATAATCATCACTAAAACAGAATTGCTGATTTGTTAAATGTTTTCTCAACAACATATATTAGTGTGATATAAGCTCTAAAATTCAGTCAGTGGATGCAAGATTCCCTTGGAAAGGAAAAATCACGTTCAGAGAGTAATTCTAAAACACTCAACATTCAGAATCCTAACTCATTCTTTTGGGCCACAAGGGGCAAGTACATCCATGAAAAATAATGAAAACTAGATCTGATATTCAGACATGAAATTTTAAACATATTTTCTAACACCTACCTTTTCTTTATCTTTTTGAAGTTGTTTCTCCAATTTTTTGGCTTTACTTGTAGCATGTTTCAATTTTTCCCTAACTTGAACATCTTCCAAATCTAGCTGTGTAAATTTTTCTTTATTCTCCTCAATAAATTTGGTAATTTTATTCAGTTTCCTGGCAAAGCAGATAAATTACTCATTAGTTTGGATATCCAGATATTTTAAAGGCATATTATATATCCTTCCCAGACACTTCTTCTATAAATATATTCAAGCTCCTATAAAGCAAAATCCTAAAAACTCTCCCTATTCCAAGCTGATTTCCCCTGATAGCTGAGGAAGCTGCTGAAATTTCTGATTATGAGTTAATTTGCTTTTCTAAACTTCATGGGAAATACTACAATTTCCAGTGACCAGGATGTCTAGGTATATAACAATTTTACCATGAAAGTAAGAGTTATTTTAAAGAATAAAAAAGAAACTCACATAGGTAAGAAGAGATACTAGTCTCACTGAATATTGGCATAGAGTAGGACTGTGATAAAATTTTTAAAAATCTATCTAGAACAACACAAATTCTACCTCTGAATCAGATTTGTTAATTATTCATTAAGAGATTAACCTGTCAGGTCAAATGCTTATTATTATTGTATTTTGTTATTGTGTTCTGCCACTAGGGGGTAGCATCCCCCACTACTTTAAGACAGAGTTGGGAGTTCAACCTGAAACAATGATGAATTGGATTTGGGGCAACAGTTTTTTTTTTGTTTGCAATAGGACACGATTTTATATGATGGCCAATGCATTACATTTATAACATGCTGGTGGTAAATTTATATACAAACACAGGACTGGCCAGTTAGCTCAGTTAGTTGGAGATGGTGCTGATAACACCAGCTGCCAAAAAAAAGAAAAGTAGACACACAGGCATAATGAAATTAACCGACTCTAAATGCTTTTAGTACTTTCCAAAAGGTTATTACTTCTCTACATCTTTTACAGTTTTATTCTTAGCTTTCATTTCATTTGATAGTATACTGCTCTTCTCATTAATTTCTTTGGTATCTTCATGAATTTTTTCCTTTTGAGTTTCTGCTGTACGGCCAAAACCCCCGGCGGGAGCGTCGCTGCGCTCCCAGCGCGGCACTCTCCTGAGTGTGCCACGGGGCTGGCCCATACATGTACAATCTGAATTTAAAATATGCCAACATTAGATAAAAACAAACGTATCAACGAGAATGTTCATCTTAAATGCTGACAATATAAAAACATTAATTTCAATCTAAGATAGTAAATATTTCAATAATTATAAACATGTAACATAAACATGAATTTGTTATTTTACATAACAAAATTTGTTAATCCATAAATGAAAACACTGATTTACAACAAAAATCTAAAAAAGATTCACCTTCTCTCCTCTGTGTTCATTTAATATTTCAACTCTCCGACATAAGACTTTAATAGGTTCATTTAGCCGTCCACAACCAATTATATCTTCTAAATATTCAAGCATACCCTCATCATGTTCAGTCTGGCCTTTTGGTTTCATCATCGCAATTTGTTCAACTTCGCCCTTTAAAAAAAGTCATATTTCATACTCATTGTATGTGTTTAGCTAAATCAATCTTATGTGAGAACTGGGAGCAGGTCAACTAACAAACCCAATAGTAATGAACAACTAAATAATGTGTATTAAGTAGCTTAAAGAGATTTAGTAAGATACAAATAAAAATGTTCTCTTTACTGATATTCTTCTTAAAAAGTTTTTAAATTTTACACAAGGGAATAAGGAATGTGTATTTATACTCCCTTACATAAATTCTTATGAAATTATAATATACACCCACATATATATACACAAAGCCAAAGGAATATTCACCATCTAGAATGTTCTTTCAATATAAATAAACAAAACATAACTTTTCTATTAAGAAAAATTTAGCAAAGTAGTCACATAATATGCAATTTGATTATGGTTGCAACATTATAGATTGTTAATAAGATAATTATTTGTCCTAAAACAAATAATTTTCAAAAAGACCCTTCATGGTTAAACTGTACTAGGAACCCTGTCTCAAGGTGGTTAGTATTATTAAACTTTCTCTATAAACCTGGTGTTATGAGTTCCTTGACAAGTAATGGGCTTCATAAGGATATCTCATACTTAATGTTCTAACTTTCTAAAAACAAGACCCTTAAATGGAAAATGAAGGTACCTATTTCTCATGGTAATAAAATAAATCCAACTGATCACCTTGAACAGAGAAAACTAATGGCACTGGTACATATAACATGGGAAAACTTTCATTTTCAATTATTAATATAGCAACTTTGAACAGTAATTAATGTCTTAGATTAACTATACATATTTGTATGCATGCAGTTTAATTACAAAGAGAAAAGAGAAAAAAAGTTCCACAGTTAGTAACCGTCAAGGCCGACTGCCAGGCAGTCATTTAGTTTGATGGTGGAGAAAATTTTGTCTCAACATGTTCAGGCAAAATGCTGCTACTTTACTTCACAGAAGTAGCCTGCTTAAACTCTATGACAAGCAAGTGGAAAAAAATATACCTCTTATTTTAAGCAAAATAGCTAAGATAAAGTCAAGAAAAAGAATCAAACATTAAAAAGAACACATCTTAGCAATTCCTATTTCCTAAGTGTACACGACTGAAGCTTAAAAATTTGGGGTAAAACTTGTTAATGATTAAGTGTCATATTTACTAAAAACCTTAACATAATTATAAAAAGTAAATTTAAAGATAACACAGAACATAAAATAGATCATTTTTAAATCTACTCATCAAAAGGCATAATTTTTTATATTTTTATATCTCATCATTTTTCGGTACTTTAACAACCTATTAGCACAACATAATTGATCAAATATAAAGTCAAACTGTTATCTAAAAAGCCTTATTCTCCATAACATTTAGTATATTATGTATGAATCAGTGTATAAACTAAAATATGCGGATATTTATGTAAATATGTATTTTATTCTGCTTTCAATGATCAGTTCTTTCCAAATGTTTGCAGCAATATAGTTTAAGTTTTAGACAGGATTTAAGCCTGGAAGAATGCCCAAAGCTTTCAATTACATACAAAAAGATAAACTTTAGTCACCGAAGAAGCCAAGGGTCTTATATCAAAGTTTTCACCTAGGTAGGGTTTATCAATAGTGGCACTACTAACATTTTGGGCTGGGTATTCTTTGTTGTGGGGAGCTGTGCTAGGCATTGCATGATGCTTAATAGCATACTTGACCTTTACTTACTAGATGCCCATAACATCTTCCTTTTACCAGCTGTAACAACCCAAACTACGTGCAGATATTTGCTAAATTTTAATTAAGCAAATACCTTAATTTAAGAAAAATGTAATTAAGAACCAGTGATCTAGAGGATGTAGTTTAAATCTTTGGGTTAGTGTTTATAATCCAAATAATAAACAATATCTGACACCTGATATATTCTACTACACTACCCTAATTCAAGTTAAATATCTGAACACCTATTTTAAGATGAATGAAAAACCATGCCAAGAAAATTTACATTTAAGTCACAGTGATAAGGTATTATTTAAGTACACATTTTTCAGAAAATGAAAAGTTGGGATTTATTGTAACAGTTTATACAAATAAAAATATTCCTAAAGCATCACACTTTTCCTGGCCAAATTACTTCTCGAAAAGATGGAGTACAGCTATTAGAAAACAGCCTAGCTTTGGGTAAAGCACAGTGGTTGCCTATTTTTGGTTACTTGTTCTTTCCTCTCCAAACAAAATGAAAGATATGCAGGTATAATTTCATCTCACTCTAATAAGGCTGCCCAATTAAAAAAAAAAAAAGTTAAAATGAAAAGACAAGGATATTTACAAATCAAAATAGTTCCCTCTCAAGTCCCACATAATAACATTCAGTTTTAGTTATCCTATAATTGCATTTTTTTTTTTTTTATTAACCAGTTACTGTCTTATCAGATTAGTACTAATGAATTAACAGGTTACTGGAACAGTTAGGCCTTTAGTTGCTCTTTTGACTGTTAGAACTGCTATGGTATTCCAATGACAATCTGGGACTTTTCTTGTGGCTCTGTTCGTTGATGTCCTTTGCCTGCCCTACCACTTGCTACCACTTGCTTTCTTCTTTTTCCATTTTGTGCCATCTCCTATGTAATCTGTGGGCTGACAGTCTGAGCCTAGAGGACTACTTATTTTTCAGAAAATTTACCAATCCCACATGAAATTATAAAAGACAGTTTTAATTTAGGGCAATAAACTCAATATACTTCAGAAATAATTTAAAACACCACGGAAATTTAAAGTCAACCTTCCATATCAAGGTTCCAAACCACAAAAAGTGAGGGCATAACACACAAGAAAATGTTTCAATTTTCTTGAAACACACAAAATATTATTAATTTATGTTGTTATATATTATATATACATATTATTAATATATAATAGTACCTGAAGATGGCAAAATTTTATAGGCCTTCACACTGTTATCTCTACTTTCTGGAGCTTAAAGCATACGAAACAAGCTTTTATTATATTATATTTTATTTTATTTTTGTCCTTTTTTGTGACTGCACTCGGCCAGTGAGTGCACCGGCCATCCCTATATAGGATCCGAACCCACGGCGGGAGCGCCGCTATGCTCCCAGCGCTGCACTCTCCCAAGTGAGCCATGGGGTCTGCCCCGAAACAAGCTTTTAAACACTCTACTGCCCCCAACTGTTTTTCACTATGGACTTTCTTTGTTTTAAATTCTGTTCATACTGTATCAGGGACATTAAGCAACTATGGAAAATGTCAAGCAGGTTTTTTAAGAGTAACAAAAAACAGCAAACGTGCTTCAAGAGGACATTTACAAAATACCAAGGGGTTAAATCTTAATTTACTGAAGGTCTTGTTGGCAGGCAATAAGGACACTGTGATTCAGTTATACCATTCTTTGATAACCTAATTTACAGGAATATAGCTTGAGAGTCTGAGGAATGATTACATAAGATGCGCTTTATACTTATTCAAAAATATAATCCAAATTATAGCAAGCATGAACTACAGAAAATTCAAACAGTATATAGATATAAAAAAAACTTTTTTCCTAACAAGGCCTCAATGATTCTTAAGACAGAGATGGGTGTTTGCATCAAAATTAAATGACCCAGAATTACCGGCTTTTAATTTTTATTTTGCCTCGATAATCTTTATTTTCTTTATTTTTTACTGCACTGTAAATTATTAATTGTTCTTTATCTTCCTGTAATACATTTTATTCTAATTTGCTCTTCCTAAGCTACCAGACGCAAAGAAACCAGTTCACCAAGATTAGTCTCTGCCTAAAATAAGTGCATAAAATAGAAAGAATACTGCTTTAGTGGCTGAACATCTTAATATCTATTCTGGTTCCTTAGGGGCAGCTTTTTTTCCCCTCCCTAATAGTTGAGGCTGTTGAATCAGACATGTTTGGAAAACTGAGGTATTACTGATAAAGGTAAAAATTTCTTTTGATATTATAGCATAGACTCATATCTACAAACTAAAAGACTACAATCCAAATAGTTTACATGCCGTGCCAAGCTTAGAAGTACGCTGGAAAAAAGAAGAAATGGACAGGCAACAACTCAGACCTAGGTTAATCCAATCTTCAAATTACAAAACAATTTAAAAAACACCCAAACAACAAAAAACCCATCTTGGTTCTTGTTTTAAATTTTAACTTAGATTTTGTAACATGAAGACAAAAAGCATACGAAGTTGAAAACTGTGACAAAATTTAAGTTGTGTTAATAGTTGTAGTTTTTGAGGAGTTTACAAAAACACTGAGACGGCAATTATTAATGCAACTTTGAACTGTAATAAAAGCATTGGGTTATCATTCTTCTACCCTTGAATGGAGCAAATGTACCATATCCAATTAAACCTAATTTATAAGTCATAGTTACCCATAAAATGCTATACAGAGCTAATAAAACTCCGCTTGTTTAGACCAATACTTACAACAATGGCACAGAGGCTTCCAAACAAAGTATATATAAAGGGGAAATGGAAAATACAAAGGCCCATCATAATCTAATATTTTTTGAGGGCATGTATAAATGTCTCTAAGGATAAGAGACAGGGTCCAACCATCTTTATATTATTTATAGCATCTTAGGATGCTCTTAGGTGCCTCATTAGGAACTCATTTGAATGGTCAACTAATGAAATTTTTAAATGAATTTAAATACTAGAAATGCTTAGATGAAAAACCTACTAAACCAATATACAAACAGTATATAAAATTTTACTCTTATGGACTTCTGAAATTTAATGCTTTTCAATCTTAAAAATAAATTTTTACTTTTGCTAAATTTAGATTACTTAGGCTGTTAATCACTACAACTGGCCAAACAGTCTATAAATTTTGTTCAAAGTAATCATTATGACTTGGATGGTGATACTGTGATGCTGTCTACAATTTCCCAGCCCCCCAAATCATGGATAGTTTCTAAGATAAGTGTTATTAAGTGGGAGAGAAAGTAACACATACCACATTCTTACTTACCTTCAAATGCTTTACATCTCTAGTGTAAGAGTATAAATTTTGATAATGATGTAAAAATCCATAGAAACCACTCCTAATTTCCCTCAAACTTTTAATACATCACCATTAGTTCTACCTAGTCCAATCCCTCCTTCTTCCTAACAGGTGAGTTCTTTAGGTTCTAATCCGTAACTTTAATAGAATTGAATTGAATCTGTTAACTTAGAAAGTTTACCTGGGTATTATCTGGGAAGAAATGTTTTAAGCAATTTAACTGTCCAGATCACATAAAAAGGTTAAAGTTATTATGAGGACAAATGGCTTCAGCATCCTAGGTACTTCAGAAGCACATATTTAATATAAAATTTACAATTTATAAATTATTTACTTCTCTGGGAAGTTATGTTATTAGCTTCCTTTATTACTGAATTATGTACAGAGAGGCTGCACTGGAGGAAAAAAAATTTTTCTTAGAAGGGTTAAAATGCAATCCACTTTATTTCGATGAGTCTTTGCACAGGTGTAAAACTGAGTATCCCAGGATGACAGTAAAGAAATGTCAAAGAATAGGCAAAAGATAAACACGAGTAGTTTCCAGCAAAATGGTATCATCGAATTTAGTACTATAAAAGGGAGATACATTTTTATCCATAATCAACCAAACCAAGTCCCAGAATATGAAAGTTCAATTTGAAAACAAACAAGCAAAAAACCCACAATGTTTTAACTCACATTTATATAAATTCAAATCTTATGTAGAAATATATCCACAACTGATTTCCCAACATTCATTTTTAAATAATTTTAGGTCACAGAAGTATTACAAATGTACAGTGCCTGGTAATAAAAGATATTAATACAAACTATTCCAGAATATTGATTTACGTTGCATGCTATGTACGTCTAAAAGTAACATATTTAAAAAATAATTGAAGAATAAGGACGAAAATGGAAATAGGAACTAACACTTTATAAGTTTGTTACTGGGAACACTCTGTCATCCTAACAAAACTTTAAGTATCAAATCAAAACTCCCAACTACATCAGTAGCACAGGACACTAAAGAACATTAGCAGCCATTTCTGCATCACAAAATAGTTTTACTTTTATTATTATGCTCTTGGTGATTCTGGATAGGAGAAAGGAAAAGAAGATAGCCTTGAATCATACAGGAATTGTAAAACATCTGACAAAGCCATGGTTTTATACTAAAAGATTTTTTTTGAAAGGTAAGATACAGGGAAGAAAAGACAGGGATGTTTCTTACCATGTAATGCTGGTAGAATACACCTTTACTCAAAGAATACGGGGTTTCTAATAAAAATCGACTTAACACCAGGTACTTAATTTTTATAGCTCCTTAAAGAGACTTTTGTTCTGTAAGAGCTGTAATACTTAAAAATGTAATATCAAAGTGACTTTCTGATCTACCAATAGTAGTGGTTCAAGAAAGTAGGCCATTCTAAACAAAACAAAAACCAAGTTGAGTAAACTTTTAGTTAACCATTCTAAGTGTTAAAAAAGATTAAATTAAATCAGTTAGGTGCCCAGGTAAATTTGTCAAATACCAAGTGTATAGATTTTTTTTTTGTTATATATTATAAGAGATAATAAGACCAAAACCAAAAAGGACAGACTATTAAAAGATAATGAATCTCATTTAAAATGTTATCTTAGGGAAATACATATAGATTTTTTTTTTGTTATATATTATAAGAGATAATAAGACCAAAAACAAAAAGGACAGACTATTAAAAGATAATGAATCTCATTTAAAATGTTATCTTAGGGAAATACAAACAGAAATGATAAATAGTTGCTATATCCCTGTCACACTAAAGCAGCACAATAATATTGGTGTTTAATATTTATTTCACTACGCCAATATTTACGTGCTGCTAGAGTGGAACAAGTATGTCAGTCCATCCAAACAAAATAAACATCTGGTGATGAAAATAGTTTTGAATGAATTTCCTTAAATTTCTAGAGCAGCAAATAATGATTCGCATCTTGACTGTAGTATGTAAACCATGATGTGCTGCTACAGTACTTTAAGGCCTCAAAAATACAGGATTCATCCAACAGGGGAAACCACCCCCCAGCTTTATTGAAAAAAAGAAACGAGAATAAGATAACCTCTAAGGTCTTTAGCAAACTTACCTGTAAGATTAAAAATCTATTATGGTCCAAGTCAATTCCATGGCTTCGAAGAAGATTTCCAACATCTTTAAATGTCTTTTTCTTCCCACTTATATGATAGACAGAAGTATTATCTCTGTAGGCCGTTCTCGACACATAGAAGTTACTGTTAGGAATGACTTCATAATCATCCCCTTCCTGTTTTGAGGAAAAACAAAACCAGAAAACAATTGTTGGTATTAAGTCACAGGTCTGCTTCAAATTTCACTCACTTCATACTGAAACTAATTCTATGGATTGAAAACCTCAATTGAATATGCACACAAACTGGCAGTAGTTCTCAGAAATAACCTTGCTTAGCAAAGAATAGATACTTTTCCAAGTTGTTTGGTATCTTTCTCAAAGACCACAAAAACCAAAAAGCCAAACCATACAAACAAAAAATCTACCTTTAAATAAGCCTAAAAACAAGATTTGACTGAGAAGAGCTGATGAAGGTGGACAAGAATCCTACCAAATCCAAAACAAACCCACCCAAATTATTAAACCATGTTGACAGATTAAATTACTAGCCCATTTAAAAAAGTTGCAAGAGATGATTCAAGTAAGACAGTAATAGGGTGATATGGTTTAGTTTTTTTTTTTTTTTTTTTTTGGGGGGGGGGGGTGGAGTGGAGAGAAGAGTGTGCCATTAATTGAAGGTAAAAAGAAATGCAAAAATTGACCACATTCCCGATTTTTTAAAAACAAAAAAATTAAAAAAATTTAAAAAAATCAAGTGTAAATCTACTTTAGTATTAAAACTCACCTTTTCTTACCCTTAAAAGCTCTGTCACATTGAAGCTATGGCTTTTAAAATTTAGATAAATAAATATAATTAATAGGCAATGGAATAAAACCTGATTTACTGGCAATCTATTTTCCAACCCAAATTGTACAACAAAAAGCAGTAAGAAACAAAATTAAAATAAATGCTTCCATGTAATTAAAGTCCCTTACATATAAAAAAATAAAAAACAAAACCCAGAAGCCAAGTCACACCCCCATTTCATTATGTAATTAGTTTCCTATATTTTTGGATTCCATTCAGTCATTTTTGAACAACGAATTTCCTAATTAAAAAGAGGAAAAAAAAAAAAAAAAAACCACAACAGAACCATGTTAATACCCTAGACATTTTATGTATAATTGTCTCTATTTCAAGAAAACAAGTATGTTAGCTTGCCCTTTCCCCATTTCAAAGTCTTAGTCACAGAAGTTCAAATTGAAGCAAAGCTCTTTCATATCACAGATACGCAGGACCATTAATAACATTAAATTTGATGTGCACTGAAACAGTGGAGACGGTAAAAATCACTCAATTGCTACACTTTTAAGTTTAGGTAATTTATTCTAAAGCAATAAAAACGTAACTTTTATAATTTATTTCTCTGGCTAAAAATTTTAATATTTTAAGTTTAACAGCCACCACCACTCTCCCCAAAGAAAACATGGTCATGGAAGCAATGAAATCAATATCTCTTTTGCTTAAATTACACATGAATTTTTAAAAGCCAATCTAAGCCAAAACAAATAAAATGTGCAATGTACCGAAGTCCTGTTTTTCTTATTTGCAAATAACTAAACAGTAAAAATCCCTTACCTTGTCAATTATCTTTTGAAAATGAACTTCTACAGTACAACTCTGAATATCCTTGTGTTCATCAGAATTATGTATTAGTACCGAGAGTTTCTTAGACCTTATTTTTTGTGCTCGATAACCAAACACAAAAAGCATGGAATCAATAACATTGCTTTTGCCACTACCATTTGGCCCAATAATACAGGAAAAGCGCTGCACGAAAGAAAAAAAAAAAAAAAAAAAAAAAAAAAAAAAAGAAAGGAAAAAAGTTTTTAAAAGGTCATACTAATACTACCAATTTTAACTTAAACTGCTTGATTTTTTTACGTGCAGTAAAAACTACAAGCATTTAAAAGTTTTCATCGCTAGAAGATACACAACTTAAGTTTTCTTACATCATGCTCTCCTCTATCACAAGCTTCAACATCTTAAATAAGACCAAGATCTAATTCTAACCAAGACTTAAAAAAAAAATTCATTCTAACAGTTAGAGGGAAAATACTTCAAAGAAAAACACTCACCGATTCCATTCAATGAGGAAAACTTTGTAGATAAATAGGTACCAAAGATAATCAGATACACAAAAGCTAATTTCAGTTGTTAAGATCATAGGAACATACCGTGTATGCGTTAGAGAGACAGATGGAGAATCAGGATAGTTACAAAATTAAAATATACTGTATCAAAGATGTATTATCTTACAATAGCTATTTTAAATGGACAAATACCTTATGGAAAGGTCCCAGAATTTTTTCCCCAGCATAGGACTTGAAGTTCTGGTTTACAATATGAGTTATCATAAGCCGAGGAGCTCCAGCTTCATTGGTCATTGCTGGAGGCGGGGGAGGAGGAATGCTACTCAAAATCTCTTCTAAACTTCTATTATCAAGTTCCTCACTTGGAGTCTCTAAAAAGGCAAAAAAAAAAAAAAAACAAAAACCCTAAAACACCTACTTTATACTTTAGTTCAATAAGTTTGGGGGACTACTGCGTGCTAATCTTTAAGAAAATTGAGGTGGAGGGATGTTATTTATGAAACCTGGGAATCTATATCTTCCACTTAAATACAGAATTACCCTAAACTCACAGGGATGAGAATCTAATCTTTCAGTCTGGTTTTATTAAAAAAGAAATACTTGAAAGAAATGCCAACTGTCACACACACAAAAATACCACTACATCATAAAGTAAATCCGGGAAAACCTCAACAAACGGATTCTCTGCTACCTAGCTAAACAGGAGGTTAAATTGTGAAGCTTTAGATCCAACTCTCTCCGTATCTCTGAGCACCTGGAACCTTGACTTTGGAAACTCACGAGCTTCAGCGACACTGTCACAGGGCTTTCATGTCACGCAATTCCTGGACTCACAAAAGCTATAGTAGTTTCAAATGATTACCTTCTCGTTAAAGGCACTCTAAGACTATAGAGGTGATGTTAGGGTCAGGCAACTTTTCATCACTTTCCTACAGTCACTTCAATTCTGTACGAAAAAAGTCCACTAGTGCTTGGCTGACCGTGCCAATTTCAGCGGAAATAAAATAAAGATGTCTGTACTAATCCAAAAGACCACAAACAAATATTCACAACTAAAGCATGTGCTCACCCCCAGCCCCTCCAGCACCGTTACAGCGAACACTACCTCTGAAAATCGCCAAATGGCTTTCCTGAATTGCTCTACCGGACCGACACTGGACTTCACACGCAATCCCAGAGCTTCTCGTCCGCGCCCAATAACCCCGGGCACTCTCGTCTAAGGAGCGGACGCACCCGGGTTCCCCAGCGCGCGTTCTTGCCGGGTTGCAGCAGGTCACTCACCTGCGGCGGCAGCTAGGCTCTCTGCGCGGCCCGACCGCGGCTCAGGCTCTCCGTCGCTGCTGCTGGAGCGGTCCGGGGACGGCCCTTCCTCTTTTCGCCGGGCCGTGGAGGGCTGAGTGCCTTTACGGGGCATGGTCGCTGGAACCGGGGGAGAGCCAGGGGCAAGTCAGCCCACCGGCCGCCGGCCCCCACGGCAGGACGGGCTCAAGCCCGCAACCTACCCGTTACTGCCGCCCCACTCGGGCAACCTCGGTCCACCTGTGTCCGAGCGCCCCGTTTTAAAACCCCGCTCAGAGGCAGCGGGTCCTCGGGAAAAGAGCCGCAAAAAACCCTAAGTGACAAGCAGGCGGGACTGGTTTCGTTAACAAGACCTAAGTGGGAAAACCTAGACGTGCCTGGGAATCGAGACTGAGCGACTGCTCAGGTCCTTTTCATTTTTTTTAACCCCCACTTCCCCGTAGATTAAGTATGTAAGAATACTCTCTAAGGTATTTCTAAACGAAGGGGTGACTCCCACACGCCGACATTTACTGCCATCCCCACGCCCTCGGGGCTAGGGATGCAAGCGCGCTGACTTCCACAGAGACGAGGTCGTGTTAGCTTCAGGTCTGCGCGGCTATCAACTTTCTAGAGTAGCGAAGCCTAACGGGCGACTCGCCGCCCACTTTCCTCTCCCCGCCATTTAGCTCTTGGCGCCGTTGACTGCCCGGGGGATTCGAGGGCTCCTGTCCACAGCCCAACCGGGAAGCGCGGCCGAAGGCTGGGATTGACCACTAACGACTTCCAAATCGGACGCCGGCAGCGCCTGCTCCGGTTAAATCACTTTGAGGTGGCAGAGGGGTTTCGTCTGTCCGAGGCCCGGGACGGGGTCCGGTTGGACAGTAAACTATGAAAGGTCAGCAGAAAAGGCTCAGACCCGGTGATCAGTCCCTCGGGAGAGGAGAGAGGGACAGGGGGAAACGCCCTTTCCCTGAGAGATCATGATTTTTGAGAAGAGGCTTGGAGACTCCCGAAGAGACGCTGAAATAGCTCAGAGAAGTGGCGCCCGGGAGAAGCGCGCGGGAGCCAGGGCCGCAGGGGAGCGGTCGAGGGGGGAGGGGTGACAGCGAGAGAAATCTGCCGGAGGCAGCCTCAGCCCGGACTCCGCGGCTCTAGTTTAAGGCCTCGACTTTCCAGGCGCCCGCGGACAGGGCAGGAAGTAAGACTGTGACAACCTGATCAGGAAAAGAAGTTCCTTACCTGCGGGACAGTCCACTCCGACCAAGGCTGGAAACGGTTGTATAACCTCCCCCCCCCCACCCCAGCTCCTACCGGTGTTTCGGCTCCGGGTCCTTCACTCGAAAATGGCGCCTAAAATACAAACTCGAACGGAAATTCGTTACAAATGCGCGCAATGATTTCTGGGATCCACTTATTTGAAAAAAAGTGCGGCGATTACCACCGCCATTTTCTGGTCGCGCATGCGCGAGCTCCTGGCGGGACCTAGTTGGCAGGGGGAGTTTCTACAAGCGAAAAACAAGAGCGAGGAAAGGGTGGGTTTACAGAAGCGGCACTGTTATTAGAAATATTTGAAAAACAATCTGGCGAGTTTTGAAAAAGAGGAAAAAATAGAATTGGGTTCCGCCCACAGCTGGAGGCGGGGCTCAGTTATCTAATAATGCCCTTTGAGACGAGGGCGGGCTCGCTGGGGGGCGGGGCCTCGGGCCCGCACTGGTGACGCGCCGCTGGAAAGTATCGCGGGAACAGGGAGTGATCGTAGCTCTTACAAGTCGCTATGGTGACTGGGAGGTCGGGAGGTTTCTTAGTAACCGGTCTTGTCTCTGTGAGAGCAATCTCCACTGCTTACCTGGAACTTGAGGTAAGTGTCTTCACCTCCGGACGTGGTGAGGGAAGGGTTTGGAAGTTGTACCGTTATTGGATCCCACCTTTCCTGCTTTGTGGGTGTGTGCTTCTTGGAGCATCAGTTATTTTCTGCCCCGGGGGCGGTGGAGCTCTGGTGTAGCTTTTGGGTTGCGAAGGAGAAAGCCCTGTCTTTGAAGGTAATAGAAAGAGGGAAAACAAGGAGAAAAGAAGAACTGGATTAGTGAATGATCGTGTAGCCCACATGTGAATAGAAAAATTATGACTTTCGAGTTACTGGTGTTAGGTCATTAGTGTCACTAGTAAAACGGGGTTTCGGACTTTTTGAAATCATTTGACTAAAGAGCTCCGTAATGGAAGAAACGATTTGCCGGTGTCATCTGGTTTTCTTTATGAGGAAATTATCGATCAGTAAATCTTTCTTAAGCAGCTTTGTATACATTGCACTGTGCAAGGCATAATCGGGATTATTAAGCAAGTTTGACGATTCCTGTTCCAGAGAACTTGGTTTTGTTAGTGGGTTTTTAACCTGGACTCTGGATCTGGTGGTAGGTGACTGGCCTTCAGAGTTAACTCCCCTGAAATTGTATACAAAATTCTGTGTTTGTGCATTTTCCTGGGGAGTTATTTTAACTACTTTCATCAGATCTCAAACTTGGTCCTAATCTCCCACAATGTTAAAGATTTGATTACTTCCAGTATTTGTTAATCAACTCTTATGTACTTGACATTAAGAACTACTACCAGTCTTTTTAAGGCCTGGCATACTAAAGAACCAATCTGCTTTATGAATGAATTTGCACTGCCACTGTAAATATATTATGGCTCTTGCCCTGAGGAAGATTTAGATGTCCTGTTCAGTGATTATCAAAAAGGGGTGGAGAGGACACTGCTCCCAAGTGTGAGAGTTTGGTGGGGTTGGGAGACTGGTGTGGTTTGAATAAGCATTGACTCCATATTACCATATACCTTTATATCTGAAGTTGATAAAAAGAATTATTGTTTTTAAATGACAACTACAGAAAATAAAGGTGATTGAAAAATTTTCTTTTTGGCTGGTAGGCATACTTGGAAGATATAAGGATTCTCTTTGAGGGCTTCTGGAATCATTTGCATTTTCAAAGGTTGTAAAAAACTCCAAAACCTCAGTTGGAGAGATATCAACTATGAAAAAAGCAAAGACTAGACAAAATTGAATGGTGAATGTGGGGATAGAGCACAAGGTCATAGAAAGATATAACATAGAAAACAGAGTCACAGATTCCATCATTTTTAAGCTTTATGCTTGGATAGTTTACTCAATTTATCAGTCTCTGAGAGTGTTTATTAAACCAGCATATAATACCTCATAGGATCGTTTATAATTGTTCATCTAGCACACATCCTATAAACATTTGATATTGCTGTGTTTATGGCATTGACCTTATTAAGATATGTACTCATACATATCCTAATGAATATGATGAATAATGGGATGTCAAGTTAGAGGAAGGGTAGCTTTGGAAGGATTGAAAATCAAGTCTAGGATGTTAGATATGATCTAGAGGAAACAGCTGTTAGAAAAAGTCTAAGATGTTGGATATGATATAGAGGAAACAGCTGTTAGAAAAATCTTGAGCCAAGGAATGACTTGATTAAAAGAGGAAGAATAATTTACAGTAGTTATATGGGACGTGTTAAAGGGGAAAGAGACTGAAATCAGTCATGGCTTTAGTTAGATTGTTACTGTACAGTCTTCCATGTTGTATGCGAGAAGTGCCCACAGAGTAAATGGAAAAAAACCCAGAATCATTTGGGGAGAAAAATTGAGAGCTTTGGTAGATATTGATTGTCACGAATATAAACTCTTAAAGTCAGTCAGATACTATTCTTTGTGAATCCTTGAATTACTGATGAGGGGACAGGAAGAACGAGAAGTCACAGATAAATCCTAGTTTTACTGTCTTAGATGACTGCTGTCAATATGGAAGGTCTTAGTGACTGATGAGAAAGAAATGTAATTTCAATAAATCAATAAACTGACTGATGGCTTTAAATTTAATCGAATCTAATCATGCTCCAACCAGAACAAATATTTTCAAAACAGGCTTAAACTAGGTTGTATGATGAAAAAATATACATAACAAGAAGCTACAGAGTAGACTTAAATTTGGGGATTTATATATAGTATGAAAATGAGACACTCAGAATAAGTGTAATTTTTGAGAAGATATTAAGGTCACAAGAAATAATGACTTTTGGTTGATTTTTTTTTTTTTTAAAGATGACCAGTAAGGGGATCTTAACCCTTGACTTGGTGTTGTCAGCACCATGCTCACCCAGTGAGCTAACCGGCCATCCCTATATGGGATGCCATCCCTATATGGGATGCCATCCCTATATGGGATGCCATCCCTATATGGGATGCCATCCCTATATGGGATGCCATCCCTATATGGGATGCCATCCCTATATGGGATGCCATCCCTATATGGGATCGCCATCCCTATATGGGATCCGAATCTGTGGCCTTGGTGTTATCAGCACCACACTCTCCCGAGTCAGCCATGGACCGGCCTGACTTTTGGTTGATTGTTGGCAGTAATTTGGACATTGCTCATGAAATTAACAATCTGCTTATAAAGAGGAGTTGGTCCATCTGGAAGGACTAGATTATAATTATTTTGGAAAGTATAACTAAGTCTCACCTTCCTACTCTAAAATCATCTACCAACAATCATCTGCAGTTTCAGGCAGTCTGAGAAGGGAAGCTTCACCTTTTACATTAGAAAAGTATAATTATACCCTATAGGAAGAAATAAGAATAAGTTCAAAGAGAAAAATTAGAATTGGAATTAAAATTTTCATTTGCAACTGTTTAAGTTCACGATTTAGTTTTGTTATCATTATAATAATATGTATTTTGTCTGCCTTCTAATGTGATTACAACACTTCAGAAAGCCAATTTATTTGGTCACAACTTTTCAAAAAGTTGATAAATTCGATTTATGAGTGTATGTTTAAAAAGATTAAGTTTGTAGTTATAAACATTTAGATAAAGTAGATATTAACTAATAAATCAAAATGAATAAACATGAATTTATGTAAGTAATTATGAATATTTAGAGAATATTGTTCAAGATTAATAAATTGGGTATAGGTACAGTACAGATATACTTCTTGATGACATAAGCCCCCTAGTACCTTATCTTATTGAAACTCTCACCTAACTTATTACAAGAAGACCCAGGAAGCTAGGAAGCAGAACAGTTGTTTTTTTGAAATATTATTTTAACAGATGAGTATGTTTT